CCGCTCATCGATCGATTTTCTTAAATGCCTCCCGAGTCTGGCCTACCGTCTCCTGCATCCTCATTCGCTCAAACGTATAAATTTCTTTGTTGATAACTATTGTTACTTTGTACCTCGGTACATGATATTTCTCCTTAGTTTAACCCAATCTACCGCTATTTGCAAAGTGGCTATTTTTGCATCAGACACCCTGTATACAAGAGCCTCACATCCTTTCAGAGCTTTATTTATAGATCGTTGAAAAACAGGCGGTGCATTTTTAAGGCCAAAAGGCATAGTAAGATATTCAAATTGGCCATCCGGAGTTACAAATGCCGTACGCTCTATCGATTCCGCATGAATTGGAATTTGGTGAAACCCAGAGGCCATGTCAAGTGATGTAAAATAATGTGCACCGTAAAGTCTATCAATTTGATCATCAATTCGGGGAAGAGGATAATGATCAGATCGAGTATTATCATTCAATTCTCTGTAGTCAACACACATTCTATCTGTTTCGTCTTTCTTCTTCACTAATAGTATAGGACTAGCAAAAGGTGAATTACTTTCCCGGATAATGTTAGCATTCAAAAGTTCTTGAATCTTATCTTTTACTATTTGTCGCTCTGATGGTGACAACCGATAGGGACGTCTTTGAACAGTTTTGTGAGGATCTATAAGTTCAATTCGCATCTCACCTGTTTTAACACGAGTGATAGGTATTCCCTCTACAAAGTGAGTAGAATAACGCGACAAAATATTCAAGAGGGTTTCTTTGTTATCTCCAAACAAATCAGTATCTAACTGCAATGAATTTGAAATGTAATTTGATTTGTCACAAATGTTAGAAATTTTACAGGGAAAAATTTCCAAGCCTTGTAAACCCATTTGAACAGAAATCCCCATAGAAAGGATGTCTCTTCCTAATAAAATCGGTTCATTCAAACAGTCATCAGGAATTACATGCAATATTACAATTAATATTTCGAATTTTTACTTCAGTTTGAATTTGTTTCACACTAGCAATGTCTGATTTTCCAATGCCTACAAGAATAATTCGATTTCGAGTGATTTTACCATTAATATTCGACGCTACACTCTCTTTCATGAGCGAACATTCGGAACCAGAATCAAAAATAAAAGGAAAACTTTTGCCAGAGATGTCCAATATACCTTGAGCTGCTTTTCTATCGCATAAGTTCACTTCCTTCGTGATATACTTTCCTTTGTTTTCTCTCTTCTCAGGACAGGAGTTAGCAAGGTATCCACTCTTCGAACAAATATAACAAATAGGAAGACGTTTATCCTCTTGACGCGCTGTTGGTTTATGATTGCTGGATTGTAAAGTTGACAAAGATGAGTCTCTTCTATTCTGCGGACAACTGAAAGACTTGTGCCCCGTTTCCCCACAGCGGTGACATGATCCTCAAAACGCTGACAAAGTTGCTGACACAGAGGGACGCAGGCGTTTGTTATCATCAGTTTCAGTTTCATCATGTCGTCGTTTTAAAGTAATTCCACGCAATATTCGGCACAGTTGAGAACGTGTGGAAATGATGTTCGCATTTAATTCACGCCGTATGGTTTGGTCATGATGCGATAATATGGATATAGCAAAACCAACGATAACTTCTTCAGACATATGCAATTTGGGCACAGCTTCTATCAATCCCCAGAGGCGAACAGCTGCATCAGCTGCGGTCTCTTTTTGGTTTATTTGAAATTTCAGTATACGATCAAAATAATCCTGCGTCATCATCGGTTTAGAAAACTTTGAAAGAAGAAGATCTTTAACGTAATTCCAAGTAATTTGATCTGACTTCAGCTTCATTAAGACCGATGCAGTGCGTCCACGTAGCGCACGCGTGAGCGCTAATAACAAATCAGTACCATCCAAGCGTTTGCTTCTGACAATTATTTCATTTACATTGTTCCAACCTTCTATATCTGCATCAACATCATCAGGGTCAAACCGAACAAGATTTGGCAACGCATTTAATGTCCCAGAAGTGTTACTCATAAGTTTTGAAAAGAAAGCCTCCATATCACTTAATGTAACGGATCCACTCATCAATGTATTGTAAGGTATCGGGCGGTAACGTGCCTGCGCGCAGCGGCGGCACAGCTGAGCGCGCGGCACGCCACCAGCGCGGTCCGAGCGGCCCCTCTTAACGGGCGACACGAGAACGCATGCGCGGCGACGCGGAGCGAGCGCACGTGCTTCACGCGCGCGGAAAGGGATTCA